CCACACACACTCATACACGTGCATATGTATATATTTTAATAGTGTTTTAATATATATATATATATATATGAAAAAACAACAGCCAAATTTTTTTTAAAACATTTTAAAAAGTATATATATATATATAAACTATCATTAAATTTAGAAATTTTTTTTTTTTTTTTTGTCACAATATTATAACCAAAAATTAATTTTATATATATTTAAATTTTTTTAATATAAATAAAAACAAAACTCCACAATAATTAAAATCATTAACTCGCAGGAATTAATTAATTAAACAGATTAATATTATTTTTTTATAAGCGAACAAGTTTTTCCAATATCTCTCTCTCTCTCACTCCCTCTCTCTTTCTCTCCCTCGCACTTTTCTTTTCTCTCTCTCTCTTTTTTTATATAAAACTTATATGGATATTTTTACGTATATTCAAATAAAAAATATAGATATATATTTTATGAATGTATGTATGTAAGCATGCATTTGAATACAATTTTGAGTTTTTGATGATAAAAACGCGTGAAAAGTGAAAATATTAATCAACTTCGGCACAAACAATATGAAATTTCGTATATTCGTACCTAAAGTGCAATAAGCATTTACCAACGTTTTAAATAACTAACACAGGTACAACGTGTGATTTTAAAAAATCGTGGGAAAAATTGCGCGAAATTATTTTTTGACTTTACGTATGGAAAAATTGCCGAAAGGTTACTAAGTTATGTTGTTGGAACGAATGATTTAATGTTAAAACTTAATTTTTGCAAAGAAATTTGTTTGAATAATGATGATTGTGTAAGACAAAAAAAAAAAAAAAAAAAAGCTGTGATTAATAAAATTCGACTATAGCCCATTTAATTAAATATTCATAATAATTAAAAAAAAAAAAAAAAAAAAAAAAAAAGAAAGTGTTTCAATTTATCTAGAACTCGAACCGCTGTATTCCCTACTTAAAAAATTTCTACTTCCCGTATAAGGAGAATTATACACGAGGCTAGACATGCCCAACCCAGAACCCAAGCAAGTACTTCCGGTAGAACTTAAATTAGGTCGACTCATGGTTCTCCTATCCAACCCCGAATGTGACAAATAACCCGATTGACCTAAATAATTATAATTAGACCGACTTCCTGGATACGTTCCACAAACCAGTGTGCTGTTTCTAAGGTTTCCCGAACTGAGAGATCGACCTCCTAAGGGCAAACCACCGTAACTGGTGGGCAGGGCACTTCGAGACCCGGAACACACCACCCGGCTCTGACCCAAAGGTGAGACGCACCGAGTTTTGTTGCTCACGTTGGTCGTCGAATCGTGACTAAGAATACCTTTTTGTTCGTACACGGGCACCTTTGGTTGCAAACGAATTGTCTTGGGCTTGATAGCCCCGACGGGTGTTTCAATAGGACCATACTGCATCGGACTACAACGATTTTGTAGACTTACCGGACTACCGCTTCGAACGCCCATAGAATGCACCTCATACGGTGAAGTACTGCGAATGCTCTGTGGAGAATTTTGATTGTATAACTGATTCGGGCCAGAAGTGACAGATTGATACTGTCCAAACTGTCCTTGATTATACTGAACTTGAGGTGATTGAGTACGAGTTGGTTGTGCACTATTTGAAGACATTGCTTTATTTTGCCCAGTATTTCCCAAAAAATTTGTCTGCAAACGACCCGGAGGGTTGACGTTGCTACTACCTACATTATCTTTGGCACTATTGCCAATATTTGTCATTTGGTTGCTTATATTTGAAAGTGAGTTACTTAAATTTTTAACGGGAGAAGTCAGGCTCGATAAATTAAAACTTGGAAAAAATGATTTTGTGCTCTTTGTCGGAGATGCAGCTCCTTGAATTTTTTTATCGTCGGTAATTTTATCGAAAAATCCTGTTTTAGTTTGAACACTTTTCGGAGGTCCGGCGGCTTGATGACTTGTTTGCGGATTCTGATGTTGCGAAAGTTGAGGTTGCACCGGATAATTCTGAAAAGATGCTTGATCTTGCGGGTAGTTTTGTTGCTGAGAATAATTTTGCGGTGGTTGATGATATTGCACAGGCTGCTGACAACTCTGAGACGGAGGTGGAGTAGGATGTCTTTGATTTTGCTGCGACGGAAGGTAATTAGGAGGCTGCTGATAATTTTGAGGTCTTTGAACCACCGGTTGAGTTTCGTAAGGAGGTTGCGAATACTGTTGTGGATGCCCAGGAGGATGTTGAACCAAATAATTTTGTTGATCTGATTCAGAATAATTTTGAGGACCAGCGTTCGGAGGATATTGATGACTGTAATCGGGCATGTTCTGATAATTATGAGGAGGAAACCGAGGAGGAGGAGGCTGATTAAAGTGCGGCCCTTGAGCGGCATGAGAGACTCCTTGCATTCTACCGTCAACTTGGCTTTGATTTGAAAAGTTTCCCCTTTCGTTTCCCCTAAAATTTGGATCGTTATACTGGTTATAACTTTGATTTTCGTAATTGTACTGAGAATCTTGTTGACAATTCTGAGGGTAGTTCGAATAACTTTTTTCAGAATAAAAATTAGAATCATTATTTTCAAACTCAGGAAATATCTGAGTTAAAACGAAGTATGCCACATCATAATTCGTCCAGTATGCAGTGTGAGATGTTAATGCAGATAGATAGCTAACTCCAAGATTTGATTCCCGCAGAATATAATCTAGTCTATATTCCAAACCTAAAATTTAAAAAAAAAACAAAAAAAAACTTTAATTACCTTTTTAATAACTTTTACCATAAGTAATTAAATTATAATGACTAACCTTCTTGTAAAGGCTCTAAAGTTCCATCGTTTGCCTTTTTGGAATCTCTATTTCTTAAACCCCACAAATTCCACGATTTATCTAAATTAAAATTTAAATAAAATTTCGAAAATTAAAATAAACTTTGTAACATTTCAATATAAAAAAAATTAATTTTTGTCGTAAAAAAAAAATTTACCTTTTGGTACACCAGAAGGATTCATTTCATCTTTTTCATTACCGCTTTGACCTGCAACACTGGTATCTTGAGTGGTGTGTTGTTCTGGTGCTATTATTTCAATGGGCATTTCCGAATAAGGAGTTTTATAATTAGCATTGTATGGCTGGACAATTAAGGGAGCTACTCTAGCATAATCCTTTATTAAAAGAGGCTCTATTCTGTAATAATTTAAATTAAAAAAAAAAATAATAATAATTAATGCAATACAAACCAATAAAAATAATAGAGTTTTTCAATTAAAATTTTTTTTTACCTATAAGCTACGGGATCTGTAGGATGAAACACGTTGTACAATCGGTGACATAATCTTTGCGGAAGAATTACTCCCATTTTACCAGGAATTTGTGAATCTTTCCATCTTAATGCCAGAAATACTGAGAGAGGAGATCCCAAACAAAAAAAATTTTGAACCTTAAAAAAATTAAAACGTAGAACCATTTTAAAAGTGAAGCAATTAAATAACCAATGCATAATTTTACATTAAGAAAAAAAAATAAAAAAAATTAAAATCTTCTCTATTATAAATATTTACTTGAAAAAGAAGGCCTTGTTGGTTATTTTGAACCAATGATCCGGGCATCAATCCCATAATTATGTCGTAAAGAATAACACACCCTAAGCTGTGCGCAATTATGCTGATTTTCCCACTTTTATTTATAAAATACGGATTTCTAGCAGAAAACATTGAATACAGTCTATTTAATTCTTCTCTTAACCCTCTCTGAACCTAAATTAAATCAAAACCTTAATACAACGCCAAAAGAAAATTTTTCTAAATTGATAAAAAAAAAAAAAAAACGACGCACTTCTCCTCCGTATAAAGGACTAGTGTAATACATAATATCCATAGCAGAAGCATTGAGCATTTGTCTTAAACTTTGCAGAGTATTAGGAGTTATGGCATCAACGAGATCACCATCAAGTTGAAGATTTGATCTCCATTCGACGGGGAAGAACTCGGCACGATGATTTGGAAAATTGGAAAAATATTTTTGTTTTAACCAAGAAACACAATCTCTAAAACTAATTATTTTATAAAATGATTTTGGTGTTTAGTGGAAACAAAAAATTTTTTCCACAAGTTTTTAAATATTAATTAATAATAATTGCCTTGACGTATTTCGAATAATCCTTCCAGTATCCATTTTCTGGCCGATTCCGTGAATAACGAAAACCAAATGATTTATTTCTACATCGGGTCTATCATTGGCATTTGCCTCATTTTTGTATCCGCGAAACAAACGATAACCGGTAGCTGAAATTTAAGGACATTGTCGAAAAAATAAATTTTAAATAACTTTAAATGTTTTCAAGTAACTTACATTTTCTAAATCCTAATCTAGTAGTTACAGTTCTAACAACTTTTGACGGTGTATTTTCACTATAAAGGTGAACTTGATTCGGGGATATCCATTCCACAATGAAATCCGGAAATGTTTCCGTATACATAACCGTACCTTTTGTTTCATTTTCAACATATTCACTAAGTTTATGACCTTGAAACATAGACAAATGCTTCGATTCCAAAATTCTACTGTGCTCTTGATCTAAAGGTTGCCATGTGCCTTCATAAAACCAAGTTCCACGAGTTATTTGACATTCTTCCCCTAAAATGTGACAAAAGAATGTTCTTCATCTTCAAAGGGACAAAATTTTTTAACGGAATATTAATAAAATGAATAAAGAAAAATAAATAAAAAGGGCGGAGTGTAAATAAAAATAATTTTTTTTTTGTATCATTAAATTAAAACTTATTTAAAAATATTTTACATCTCATTTATGTTAATAAAAATTTTAATTAATTCTTTAGCGTTATTGAGTTAGTTTTGTTGTTTTGTACGTACATTTCTTACTTTTATACCTTATTTCCTAAAGTTCCTAAGGAATAACTAACTTAAGACTGAAAGAAAGCTTCACAAATCATCATCCGACAGGCATAAATTAGCTTCTTTTAAACACCTTAAATATGAAGAAAAGTACCCAAAGTAAAAATTAAAAAAAAATATATAAAACTAAAAATTAAATTTACTTAATTTAAAATAAATCCTCGTAAAAAAAAAAAAAAAAAAAAAAAAACTAATGAAAAATAAATAATAAAAAAAAAAAAAAAAAATCCTTGATAAATGCAAAATACAATTGCGAAAGCAAAATAATACCATTTGATAAAGTTTAATTTACAAAAATAATATTTCCTGAAAACGACTTTTTTAAAAATGTTTTTACTACATTGTGATATCACTACAGCGATACTTTAACAAATATTTTTATACAATCAATAATTATAATTTAATTTCAAATATTTGCTTTTCAAAATAATTTTTACCGAGTTTAAGTATTAAAATTTACCTGGCCAATATATAGATGAACATTTAAATGTTTCAAAGTTAATTTCATATAATCCTCCTCTAACAACTAATTTGTGCTGTGCTTGTTGGGGTTCTCCATATCTACTATAGGAAGGTTGAGAATACTGATTTCCTTGTTTCGATGGAAATCTAATTGATGATACTCCAAATAAATTACTACTTCCAGGAAAATTATAGTTGCTTCCAGATTGTTTAGATGTTTGATCTACAAAAAAAATAATATAAAATACATAAATTGTAAAATGCCAAAAAAAAAAACCAAGTAAATATTTTTTGTACCTGAAAAGGCACTGTGCTTTGAATAAGAAGTTGTCATATCATATAATTCTCTAAACTTCATTTCAATGTGAAAAGAATCATATCCACTAAATTCTAGCCATCTTTTTTCTCCTTCGGATTTATAAAACCAACGAACTTCTTCTGGAGTTAAGTCGGTCACGATGGCATCTAAATTTCTTGCTTGAGGAGGTGCATAATCCCAATTGGCTCCATTTGGATCCATTTGAGGTTCGTAAATCTTGTTTGTTTGATAATTATTATCTTTTCGAACGTATGATCTCTCATCTTGTACATCATTATCCAAATTTATTTTATTAAATCTTTGTTGCAAATATTCATCGTTAGGCGCACTACGACTGGGTGTAGATGAATAACTCATTTCTCAATAAAACTAGCATTTATTTTATTTTATTAAATAAAAAAAAAACAAATTTCTTTTTACGAAAACAAATAGGAAACACTACTTATTATTATCCCCGAGTTTCACGAACCATTTCGTATGAAAATTTTTAGACGCCATTTTGAATTCAGCAATTGCTGACGTCATTCATTCAAATTTAAGCAATGCGGTGCCACGAAGATTTACATCAACTTCTCTATCTCTCTCTTTCATTCTAACGCCAAAATCGTTATTTTCCCGATGAAAACAAAAAAAAAAAAAAAAGAATACATGTGTAAATAAATAAAAAATTTTTATAATTATTTAAAAAAAAAGATTTTAAATATTAAATAAATGTAAAAAAAAAAAAAAAAAAAAAAATTACATAATATTTTCATCGTGATAAACTCGTAAAGTTTTTTAATTCGATCAATAAAGCTTTTGGTCACGAAAATTTTGATTCTTGAAATTTTACGAGTTTAACGTCCGGATATACAAAAAAAAAAAAAATAAAAAAAATTTATTTAAATATATTTTAATTAAAATTATTAATTAATTAATTATTAATAACCATTGAAATAAAATAAAATCGTTTTCGTACACAAAAAATATCATTAAAATTTTTTTTACCCGTTAATTTAAAAATAATTCGTTAAAATTTTTCATTAATGAATTCGATTCAATTTAAAAAAAAAAAATGGGGAAAAAAAATTAAATTGGTTACAATTTCCGTTAAAATTTGTAAATTAATAAATATTAATTAGGAATTATAAATAAAATGTAATTTAAATAATAAATAAATATCAAAAATTATATTATTTATATATAAATTCCCGTAATCAGTTTGTAAAATTTAAGTATATGCTGTTCAATTATTTATATTTTATTAAAATATCAATTTAAAAAAAAAAGACATCAAAATATATTATAAAAAAATAAAGAAAAGAAAAAGGGAAAACTTAAAGTTTGCATGTTGAAAAAAAAAAAATTTACAAAAAATTTTGTGAGTTGAGGAAAAAAAAACTTTTGTAAAAAAAAAATAAGTCAAGGACCTTGTACAAATAACTTTTAAATTAATCTAAAATTCTAATTTTCTAACAACAAAAAAAAAAAAAAATAAAAAATAAAAAATAAAGAAACATTAAAGCGATAAGAACAACAAATTATGTAGCCTTATTGAAAATTCAATAAAAGAAAAAAAAAAAAAAAAAAAAAAAAAAAAAAAAGGAAAATTTTCTTTCACATGAGTTAATTACATTCTCCTGGGTCGCTAGTTTATTACATAAAAATAATAATAATAATAATAATGATAAAAACATTAGATAAAAAAAAAAAACAAAAAAAAACAAATTTAGGGAACTAAGTATAAAATAATTTTTTTTTTTTTTTTTTAACGTTAATTAATTTTTCGGATTATTAAATAAAATCATATTTGGAAAGCTTAAAAAATAATAATAATAATGATAAAATATCTTTTTCCTTTAATAAGTAAATTGCAATGTATAAAAAATTAGTAAAATAAAATACAAAAAAAAAAAAAAAAAAAAAATTTCACCGCAAAATTATTACCGGCTTAAAGTTTTTCTTTTCTTTTCTTTTTTTTTTTTTTTTTTTTTTTATTTAATTAAATTAAGTCTCATAGAAATCGATTCTGTCGCCAGATTTAAAATTTCTATGTTGTAATATTTTAACTAATTTCCCTATACTTTCTTCAGCACTTAATATCGTCGAATCTTTTTTCATTTTTGTAAACATTTCTTTGACTTCTTCGTTTCTAATATTCGATATTATTTCATCAGTCATGTCGGTGAGTACTGGACCGGGAGAATAATTCAAAACGAGATAATTTTTATTTTCTTCCGCCATGACGGAAAAAAACATTTCTCTGGATGCTTTTCCAACGCAATAATATCCCATTGAAGCAAATGGTTTGATTGCACATAAAGACGTGATATTGACGACGCATATATCGCAACCTTTGTTAAGCAATCTTAAATCCGGTTGTCGTTTATCCGCATCGAACGTTTTTACAAATTCAGCATTCAATATGCAAACACTAAATAAATTAAGCATAAAATAACTTGTTAATTTTTCTATGTTTTTCATATCGTATGTGAATTCCGAAACGTCTCCCAAAGATCCAGCATTGTGAACAATCATTGCTAAATCGAAATCTTCGACATCTTTTTTAAATGCATCCAATGACTGATTAATTATGGTGTGTAGTTCGAAGCTGATCGGTTCGTAAAAATTAAACGAATGAACAAAAACATTTATTTTATCATTAACTTCATTCATCATTTTTTTAGTTTCATTAAGATTGTTTAGATTTCTTGCGAGAAGTAAAAATGTCGAGCCATCGGCAACTTTTTTCGCAAACTGTATTGAAATTTCCCTTCCGATCCCTTGAGATGCTCCTGTTATGAGACAATAAGTTTTCCTATTCCAAATTTCTTTGTTGCCTTCCATTTTTTCTCCTTATACTGTTTCTTTTTCGCTTTCTAATTTTTCAAATAATTGTCCCAATTGATCATACTTAATCAACTCAAAGAGTTCGCTGATTGTGTTGGCCTGTTTTTCAGGATTAATGAAGCGATGCCTAAAGTTACACACTCAATTTTTTAATAACAATATTTACATTATAATTACCCATTTGTAAGAAACAAATAATGCCATTTAAGTATTTAAAAGAAAGTTGTGATTAATACAATGAGCATTACTGTTAATATATTAAAACAATGTTTTTTTTAATTGAAAGATAATTAATTTTTAAAACGAATATCAAAAATACATATTTACTTTATTTATGTTATCATAATTATTAAGGGATTTCCTGTGGAACTAAAGAGAAAAGTAAAAAAAAATTTTTTAAATATAAATAAAACAATACTTACAATGTTGATGATGCAATAGGCTGATCTAAATCGAGATCATTTAATATTGTTGTAGAATTACTATCAACTAATCTTTCTAAATGACTTTGTTTCGCTTTTGATAACGCTGGTAAAAGTTCTTTATCTTTAATGTTTTTACTTTTAAGTTTGGCTAATTTTTTTTCTGAAATTTAAAAATAATAAATTATATTATTTTAAAAAAAATTTTAATGGCAATTTTTACTCTTGATAATAAAAAACTAATTTGTTAAAAAATTTTACTTATTAAAAATGATACTGGTCAATCGGTTAAAATATTTTTTTTTTAACAAGTACTGTTTAGGATGATTATACCTAATCCTTCCAGGTACTGCCTTGAATCTGGTAAACGCTCTTTTGTAACAAAATTATCTTCAAAACTATCCAATGAAGTATCTGTATCAGATAAATTATTTGTACCCCAAGGTTCATCCATTCCAAAATTATTCCAAATCATATTCAAGGTCATAACATATAAAGGCCCTAAAAAAATTTATTAATAAAAAAAAAACCCGTTGAGGTAATTCAAATATTTGGATTTGTTAATTAACAATTAATTACATAACTTTATATTTAAAAAAGACAAAAAAAAAATAAATGTGTTTACATAACTATGTATATAAAAGTTTCATAAAAATAATTAAATTTTTACGAATTTAAATTGTGTATTATAATTAATTTATTATTAAAATTTAAAATTTATTAACATTTAAAAAATTTGTATTATTACAAAGCAAATAATTTTATTAGGAAAAGAATTTATTTCTTTTTTATTTATTATTATTAATATTAGTAACTTAAAACAATCTTCTTAATTTTTTGAAAAATCAAACATAAAAATATAATAATTAAGAATATAATAATTAAAATGTTGGCTGTATGTATAAATTTAAAAAAATAAATAATTAAATTTGAAAAAAAAAACCCTCATATTTTCAAAAATTAAAATAATTTACTTTGAAAAACTATTTTAAATGATCAATTGAATTAGCTTTTTTATTAAAAAAAAATAATTAATAACCTTAATTAAAAAATACTTTGTTTCGATTAATAAATTAATCAGAAAAAAAAAAAAATGTATGAAAATATTAAGCAGTACGTATTATTTTAATATGGCTGTAAATTTTATTTTCCTTTATTAATTAAATATTTAAATGGCATTTGTTCTTAAAAATTCCTAAAAGTAAACCTTTCACTTTCACTATTTTTTTTGTTTAATAATTCACTCGTTTCAAAAAAAAAAAAAAAATCAATCAATCATCAATCAATACTCAATAAAAATTATTTTGACTAAATTTGTCAGTTTTATTTACCTAAATTTATGACTACTCAAAGTTTTTTTTTTTTTTTTATTTACAAATACTTATTAATAATAATAATAATAATAATGTAATTAAAAAATTTTTTTTTATTTCTTTTCTAACGTTTTAAATTGTTTATAAATAAAATTATAATAAAAAAAAAAAAAAAAAAAAATTTCAAATGCATGAAAATCAAATAATAATAATAATAATAATAATAATATTAGTAGTTGTTTTCTCGTTTTATTTTTATTGTAGTCTATTAATGATAAAACGCAGTCGCGAAAAAAATACATTTATAAATTTTTTTTCTATCTTTTTCCTTTTTGTTTTTTTGTTTTTGTTTTTTTGTTTTTTGTTTTTACGTGAGTATAATGTAAAATATTTCATTCATTGCTAAAAGCACGATATTTAAATCCTAATGAAAAAAAAAATGAAATAGTTAATTTTAAACATTTAAGAGTAAATATTCAATTCTCTGTTTTACTTCTTATTTTCTTTTTCTTTTTTTTTTTTTTTTTTGTCTTCTTCTAATTAGTTTAAAAACTGGTATTTTTTTTAACGCTGCTGCCATATCCACATCCAAAACACTGATATTAACAATATTTACGTTATAACTATAAAAAAAAAATTGTAAAATTTTTTTTTATCCGATAACAAAACCACATCCTAAACGAAAGTTTTGTTTATAATGATTAACCATCCCGGAAAGGGAAAACGTAAATGGTAACGGCCCCAATTTTTTTTCCAAAACGCCACCTACATTCCAGTTTGAATCAATCATTCCTGAAAAAACAAACAATTATATCCCTTTTTTAAAATTTTTACTTGATTAAATTTCATGTTTACCAAAATTCAAATTTAGGATTTTAAAAAACTAAGACTCGAGCAACTATCCTCCCATTATTAATAGTGCACCGACTTAGATGTGAAAATAAAAAATACAAAATATTGTGTGCTTAAATACCATATTGTAAATAATCAGACATAATGTCAGTAATTCAATACCTCTGAAAACTAGATCTACTTTAGGTAGATCTATTTGATAACCTATAGTAGCAGTAGACTCTCCCATCCTGAAATTCGTTTCTAACTCACACCCTAATTGTAATTGCTCTGAAGCTTTTTGGTAAAAACAAAGATGTAAAGCATGTGCACCTATAGTACCTGAAAATGCACTTTCAGCACCTAAAAAACATTGTTGATATGTTAAAAACAAAAAAACCTTGATAACAAAAAAAACAATGTAACGAGTAAAATCTCACCATCATAACGACCAGCCAAAGACAACAAAGCAATTTCATTACCAGGAACATGAGGTCCAAATTGATAAGCCAATTCAGCCCCCAATGCAACTTTTTTCGATACAGATCGCAAATAATGGGCGACTACCAAACCTAAAGCAATTTATAATAAGAAATTGTCACCAATATTAAATATTAATATTTTATAAAAATAAAACATTAAGGAAAATTTAACAAACCTGACTCATTTACTATGTCTAAATTGGCTACTGTAAATGAAGAAGAAAATTGATTTCCTCTAAAATCTGTCTGCAGCTGAGTTGCAGATATTGGCTTATTTTTTAATGTTGAAAACTAAACAAAAAAAAAAAAATTAAATACTTCATGATTTTTGGGATACAAAAAAAAAAAAAAAAAAAAAAAAAAGACTGGGATTGTAATATTGTTTTAATTACTTGGCAAGCCAATTTGACTTTAATTCTATCTGTTAACTGGTGTAAAATGTTCGCATTCATGTTTCCACTAGGATCAATGTCCCCTAATAAAATTGGATATGCTTCATGTGGACCCACATGCTTAGTTCCAACGTAAGTTGCTCCAAATCTAAAAACAAATTTTAAATTTTTTTTGTCATGTAATATAACTAAAATAAGTATTATTGAGCTTTAAAATTTTAAATTTACATATCTAAGTACACAAAGAAAAAAAATTAAAAAGAATATCGATAGTATACTAAAAGTGATAAAAAAAGTTAAGCATTTAATGAAAAAATAATTCGCAAAAAACCTAAATTTGAAAAAAAAAAAAAAAAAAATAGCATAAAGTTACAATTAAACAAAATAAATTGATGACTGTTTCATGCATAAAAATAATTAAAAATTATACCTGTAACCAGCTGGTGTAACAGAACTTAAATGTATTGTATGGGATATTTGAAAATGATTACTGAGGCCCTTGTTCACCATAAATTTTACACCATCAAAATTTAAAGGAAAGACATCTATAAAAATATTAAAATTGAAAAAAAAAAGACTTAAATATCAATGCTTATACATATAAAATTATATTTATTAGATTATAAGGATTATATTAAAAAATAAGAAATTTGACTTAACTTTCTCATTGTCATTTGGCAAATGTATTACCTGTATGAGTAAAAGGAAAAACAATAAACGTTGTTTAAATGGACAAACAATAATTACCCCTCGTTCTTTTATGAAGATCTTCCATTACACCGGGATTTGGAAATTCATTTGGATTTTTTTCATCTTCTCTAACCCAGGAGGTGGAGGTGGATCTGGCGCCGCAAATGATCCACCGGCAGGTCCACTGGCAGCAAAGACATTACCCATTTTACACTCAAAAAATTTTATTAATTGATTACACTAAACAGCAGTTTTTCTTAGGAACCGAATTGAATTAATTATAGATCAAAAGAAAAACAATTTTTTTACACAAAATCATTCATGCCACTTCCATTTTTCATTTGTTTTTATGAGCACATTTTTCGAAAATCTATAACGTGTTTCATAAATTAACCGTTTTCGGGGCCTTAAAGGTTTTCTCATCTATAGTTACGCTGAAGTTTTGAACAGTTTGAAAAAAATTTTTTAAAAGTTTTTTATTATTTTTATTTTTTTATTTAAACTTTTTTAATTGTATTTTGTGATTGTTTAACTTCTTATTTAAAAAATTTATATTAAGTAAACACTTTTTAAAAAGTTTTTATTTTATTTATATTTGGATAAAATAAATTGATAGTTAAATATGGAAGGTGAATATTTTCCTTGTCCTAAACCAGAAGAACCATTTGTCACAATTACAGAAGATGGATTTGGTTTTGTAACAAATCAAGACGGTTCCAGAGAAGTAGTTCGAAGATACACTTTTACCAATCAAAATTATTTAACCATTCAAGTCATAACTTACGGGGCAGCTATAACATCCATTAAATATCCTGATAAAAAGGGATCTCTAGATGACATTGTTTTAGGATTTGATGATATAGAAGGTTTTTATTTTATTTTTTTAATTTTATTTTGTAATTAAGTTATATTAAAACTTTTTTAAAGGTTATTTATCACCAAAAAATCCATATTTTGGTGCAACTGTTGGAAGAGTGGCCAATAGAATTGCAAAAGGTCATTTTAGAATTGGTGACGAAGATTATCAGCTGAGCACCAATATAGGAGAACATCATTTACATGGTGGTTTTAAAGGATTTGATAAAGTATGACTACATTTTTTACAATTTAATTTTACTTTTGCATAAATTACATACTTGTGCATTGAAGGCTAATTGGAAAGGAGAAGTTCAAGGGAAAAAAGTTGTCATGACATATCTCAGTAAAGACAAAGAAGAGGGCTATCCAGGTGAAGTTTTAGCATGTGTTCTGTTTGAAATGACTACTGATAATGATTTTATTATTGAAATGAAAGCCACTTCCACTAAACCAACTCCTATTAATTTAACTAATCATTCATATTTCAATCTTGCTGGCCATGTAAGTGATGCATTTTAAGTTTTTATTTCAGTTAATAGTAATAATCACTAAACCTAATAATGAATTAAATATTAAAAATATTTTTAAATAATAAAAAAAACTATTTATTATGAAACCAATATAGTAATTTTTTTTATTTTTAGGACAAAGGTGCATATGGCTTATATCAACATGTAATATCAATAAATGCGGATAAGTATTGTCACACAGATGAAAATTATATACCATCTGGAATGTTGAAAAATGTAGTAAATACTCTGTGGGATTTGAGAATAGGAAAAAAATTAGGAGGAGTTATTAATTATGTACCCTATGGAGGATATGATCAAAATATGTGTATTCATAAAACAAGTAGTGAATGCCTATCATTCATTGCAAGGTAACGAAAAATAGTTAATTTTTTAAAAATATTTTAGCTAGGAATACAATATAAATAATATATATATTCAGGAAAATCAGATACCTGAAAAAATATATTTTTTTTGAATTTAAGGGTATACCATCCTGAAAGTGGCAGAACATTAGAAGTTTATTCTAACCAGCCAGGTGTTCAGTTTTATACATCTAACAGCCTCCCGAGTAGGCCAAGTGGAGATGCTGTTGGTAAGTTTTTAAATGTTTTTTTTTTTTAATGTCAATTTGCATACTGAAATGACTTTTTTTTTCTTTTGTTAAAATTGTTTAAAATAATTAAATATGAAATATATAATTTAATAATTATTTGTAGTATGCATGAAAAAATTGGGTATAAAGGGCAAACAAGGAGTACATTATTACAAACACCAGGCTTTCTGTCTGGAAACGCAAAATTATCCAGATGCTGTCAATCATGTGAGTTTTTTATTATCATTTTTAAAAAAATTTTTTGGCTTTGTGTTGGAGGTATTAAAACTGAGTTGGGTGAAGATAATTGTCTGATAAGAAAATGTCCCCTTTGTGGCCAACTTATTAAAGACGCTGATTTTGAAAATTTAAATGATGAGGAATTTGGAGATAAAAATACTATGGAAAATTACCAAAACTCTATTGAAATTTACAAATTGATTGGTAAATCTGGAACATTATATTATAAGCATGCAGCATTTTGTTTGATGACACAAAAATATCCTGATTCAGTGCATCGTGTAGGTATACAAGAGAGAAACCAAAGATAATTAAAAATTATCGAATAATTAAAATAAAACTGAAATTATTTCAACCATTTTGTCTTTTTAAAACAAAAATTTAAAATTGAATTTGATGCACTTGAATTTTTTTATCATTTTTACTTTATTAATTTGAGTATTTTAATTTAATCACTTTCTTAATTAATAAATAATTTTAATTCATTCATTCTTACTAAACTAAAAGGTTTGTTTTAGAATATAAGAGAAACTATAAAAAAAAATTTTACATATTCAATTGATAAAAACTCAGTAAATTATTTTATAATTAATTTTGTGATTTTCAGAAAAATTTCCCAAATTCTATATTAAAACCTGGGGAAAATTATTATCACATTGTCAAATATAAATTTGCTGTGTATGAAGAAGTTATTCCACATCAGGAAGAAGAAGAATATGTAGAAAATTCTGAACCTGAAGTGGAAGGAGAATTTGTACAACCTGAAGTAACAGATGAAGATGATATTCTTAGTACAAAAATTGAAGAAAATGGAAGATGATAATTTTAAAACTTTTTAATCATGTTTTTTTTTAAAAACTTTTTTATACACAATTTTTTTTAAATCTATAATAATTGTTACTTTTTATCTGACAAATTGTTTTATTAAATATAATATTGTTATACCATTTTATATTAATAAAACTGTATAAAATGACAATTATTTTACCTTATCTATTAAAATATTTAATATAAAAAAAAAAAAAAAAAACAAAGTGTAATAAAAGTTATCACTAACAGACTTTCAAGAAACTATCAGTACTCTGGGATAGTTTAAAAAAAGTACAAATGCATCCTGTAGCATTTAAAATTCCGCTTTTACATTAAGCCATTTTTATACTTATCTAATCTAGGATCTGGTTCTTTCAAAGAGGGAGACAAATTTTTTTCAAAAATTGTTTTGGGAACAAACGCGTGTTTTTTTAATGATTCAACATCTTTATCTTCTTGTAATAGTCTTTCCTCCCTTTCATCTTTAACGCTTTTTAAAGCAGGAGTGTACCTATCTGTAACAGGAAAGAATTGTGCAAATTCCCTAAGTAAACTTTAAAATATAGTCAATTGAAAGATTTTTAAAAATTTACACCGCTAACTCTAACCTGATATTAGCTGCTCTATTTTGTAACCTATAAATCCTACTGTCGCCGATATCGGAAAGACAAGCACTAATGAATAATTAGAAATTAAACGAGATAATAATGCCCAATACATTACAAATAAATTTAAATTTAAAAAAAAAAAACTTTTTTAAACGGCGAATTCGGAAAAAAAAAAAAAAATTAAATTTTAACTATTACAAAAAAAAAAAACTTTTAATTTTAACTACATGTCTCATATGTAAAATAAAGTTAATATGTAGGGCCCTGAAAAATACTTATTAAAATTATACACTTGAGCGCTGTTGAATGCTCATCTTCTGCGCAGAAATTCAATAATTTTTTTGCCAGTGCACAGAGTATAGCTTAAGCTATTCAAAATGATTGTTGTAAAAGAGTTTAAAATTTTTAAAAATTTCAAAACATTCCAGAGTTTTAGTTAAAGTATTATGTGACAAGTATGTTTTCAAATGTGTACGTGTAAAATCACGTGAGACAGGGGTTTTTGTTTTTTATTTGTTTTTAATATTAATAATTTTATTCTCAAGCCCGTATTTCGTCATTTCACGAAGAAAATGGCGGATTTTTCTTCTACTTAGTAGAAGAGAAGCGTATAGCTTTGTTATAGTATCATGTTTTCATCACCAAGTTCTGCCATAGAATCCCAGAATTATGATTTTGAAAAAGCAGAAAATGCTGCAAAGTGGAAAGGTGTTTTTGTTAACTCTTTACGAAAAGTAAGTAATGCAAATATAATGATTAAATTATCTCATATCATTACACGTTTGAAAATATTACTTTTAATAAGTTACAACTAAATATATATATTTATTTCATAATTCCTTATTTCCATCCAATTTTATTTCCGTCTTTTGTTTTTTAATCTTTTTTTTTTTATTTCGGAATTTATTTTAGTAAATTCAAAAATACTTGACTATTATTTCCTTAGTTTATCAATAGTAATTTAATTTTGATGTTTGTTTTTAAACAATTGAATACAGTAAGAAATGAATGATTTAAATCTTTTTAATTCTTATTCTTTTCAGAATGCAATTGTTTTCTGTTTTTAAATCATTTCTGAAAAATATTTTTAATTTTTTACTATTCAGGAAAAAGTTTTTTCTACTAACATGTAAACATTACATAGATAATTAAGTTAATAATTCATTTTTACTTTAATAGAAATTTTGTCGTTAATGCCAAAAAAAGAAACAAGTTTTATTTTTTATATATTTTTTTTTATTTATTTTTTATTATAATTAATTAATGTTTATTTGGCACATTTTAAAATGATTGATTTTTTTATTTTTAAAATAACTAGTAATTATTTCTCCTCAAAAATGATTTGTAAATTTATTTGTCATCATTTTTTTTTTTTTATTACCAAGCCTTATAAATTACATTTGTATTATAAAATTTTATCGAATTTAAAAGTAATTCATATTTTTTTTTCGGTTTCCATAAGTAAGTCTTTGTAATTTATGACTAATAGTAGTAACAAATGAAAAAAAATATTTATTTAAATATTTAATTACTTATTTTAATCGGAATGATTAAAGACGAAAATGTATATTAATTTTTATGATAAAAAAAAAAAAAAAAAAAATTCTTATCGATTTCAAAATTGTGATTGACTCCATGTTTTTTATATTTATTTTTTTATAAAATACTTATATTAATGTCTGAGTTAGATGAATTATTATTATTATTTTTATTTATATGCATTACATAAAATTTTATGTCGCATGATTAGGTTTAGTAGTAGTAGTAGTACGTAAATGAAAACTAAAAAAAATATTTAAATATCGTTAAGTTTTTTTTTTCATTTTAATCGAAAAATTTTGTCATTTAAATAATTTTTCAATTGTATGGTAGATTTTTTTTGTGTGTGTGTGTGTGTGTGTGTGCATATCATCATTATGTGTAGTAAATCATAATTTGTTTAAATATTTTAATTGCTTGAAATTATGAAATATGATATTCTAATTGGTTTTAATGCAATTTCTTGGATTAAAACTTGTCAGCCTTGAGATACTCTTTAAAACTAATGATTGAACTTGAAACTTATCAAATCGCCGCTTTTATATATATATATAATATTATCAAATCTTTAAAAAAAAAAAAAAAAAAATTTCACAGGAAGTTACTATTACTGTCAAGTTTTGTTTTTTTTTTTTTTTTTGACAGTGCTCAGAATGTTGTTATTATTATTATTTTTGTTTTTTTTTTAAAATTAGGTCTTGGAACAAGTCCATTCGTCACTGACAGCTCGTGATGATGCATTAGAATATGTAGAATCATTAATACTTCGGCTGTTGGGTATGCTTTGCGCTAGACCTCCTCCTCATACCACCCAAGATGTCGAGGAGAGAGTACGAAGAACGTTTCCCACACCCATTGACAGATGGGCACTCACCGATGCCAAAGAGGCGATAGAAAAAGGGAAAAAAAAATCACCGTTGGTGCTACCCGTCGATAGAGTTCATCATTTATTGCAAAAGGTTATTTACATGCAGACATTTTTGTTTTTTTTTTTTTTTTTTCTGATATTCGATAATGAAGAAAAACGTTTAAACTTTTCTTTATTTATAATTATAGGAAGTCTTGCAATATAAATTGGACTCTCAGGTATCCTTCTACATAGTTGCCGTGCTTGAATATATATCGGCAGATATTTTGAAGGTATAATACTTTTTAATAAACTGCACCATTCAAATTTTTTAAAAATCAAGTTATATAATAATAATAATAATTGTTTTTTTTTTAGCTGGCCGGCAACTATGTTAAAAACATTCGTCATGTAGAAATCACTTGCCAAGACATAAGAGTTGCTATGTGTGCGGACAAGGTAATTTAATTTTTTAAATGAATTTTAACATTTTTTTATACAATCAATTAACACAAACAAACACAAACACACATTCATTGATTGTTTCAAAACAAACAAACAATCATAAAATATAAATTTAAAAACCCTAACTCTATACAACAGACTTTAAAATTAATATTATTATTATTAATCATTGAAAAAAAAAGAAAAAAAAAAAAAAAAAAAAAACTTTTTATTTCTTTTTCTAGTTTTTTTTTTTTTCTTTTTTTTTTCGTTTTTTCGTTTTTTTTTTTTTTTTTTTTTTTTTTAATTTCTTTTAATTAATTATAGTTGAAAAAACAACTAAAACCGAAATCCTTTCCTTTCCCCTCACTCACTCACTCCCCTCATCCCCCCCCCCCAAAAAAAAAAATTAAAATGATTACCATTTATTTTATTACTGATCCAATTATTTTGAATTAAAAAATTGGAATTGAAAACATTTTCGATTTTTTCCTTATCGATAAGAAAAAAAAAGAAAACAATGAAAACTAAACACTCTGTTAACAAAATGATTTCTTTCGATAAATTATTAATTAAATTTATTAATTAATAAAAATAATAAAAAAAAAAAAATTTAAAAAAGGAAAGAATTCTTTAATATCATTATGTCGTTTCCATGCTTGCTTTGTTAAATTGATGGGAAAAAAAAAAATAGGTGGTAGGTAAAAATTAAAAAGATAAACTGATCAATTATTTTATAATAATAATATTTATTATAATGATAAATCTTTGCACGGATTGAAAGTTTAATTTTTCTTTTTTTTTTTTTTTTTTTTATTTTTTTTATTTTTATTAGACCCTTTTTTTTTTTTTTTATTCACAGTGTTTTATCGTCTGTCTCCAACAACTTACTTATTTGATTTTTTTGTCCTTTCTTTCTCTCTCTGTCTCTTTTTTTTCTCTCTCTCTCTCCTTTTTTTTTTTAAAGCCCAAATCCTGAATTTGTTGCTAGGTTTCTCCATTTTTTTTTTTTTAATAAAATAACAAAAATAAATAAAATACGCGGTTCCCCTTTAACGTATTAATTTTTTTTTTTTTTCGTTATTGCTTTTTAAATCATATTATTTTATTATTATTATTATTATTTTTACACGTGTTCAAACTTTAAGAAACTTTTTTTTTTTTGGGGGGGGGGGGGGTATTTCTTAAATTGTTGATAGGCACCAAAAAAAAAAATTTTTTTCAACTAAATATTTACTAATAGAAAAAAAAGGCAAAGTAAAAAAATGTTTTCATCACATAAACGTACTTAAATACCTAAATATGGTTTCGTTTTATATCGTTTTACCTTTATTAGGGCATATCGTTGTTAAAATTACTATATGACTAGTTTTAGTAAAATCAAATGGTTTTCCATAACGTAAAGATATGCAGTCATAATAATAATAATAATGTTTTTTTTCTTTCTTTTTTTTTCTAAGCGTTTGTTCTTTGTAAGTCCTTAAAATTTGTCAAACAAAAAAAAAAGTTCTTGTGATGACACATTTGATTTCCTTAACTATATATATATATCATCGCTGTAGATAAATTGTTTATTGTTATTATTATTATTATTATTATTATTATTATTATTATTATTATTATTACGAATACATTTATTTTAATCGCTACAAACCATTATTATTATTATTTATTATTTATTTATTTATTTATTTATTTTTTTTTTACATTTATTTAATTTTATTTATTGTTTGCTTTAATTTTTTTTTTTTTATTTTTTTTTTATTATTGCACATTTGCCTGCTTTTGATTATTATTATTATTATTATTTATCTATCTATCTTTTATTCGTCGTTCCTTTTTGTCCGTTTCTCAGAGTCACATTATATTTATTATTATTATTATTATTAATCATTCATTTATTGTCAACTTATGGGTTATTTATTTATTTATTTATATTTTTAACGACAGATTTTTTTTTTTTATGTATAAAGTCAAAAGTGTATGCATATTAAATATATATATATATATATATATATATAATATTTATATAATATACATAAAACTTTTGTTTTGATTTTTATTTATTTGTGTGGTGAATGTACTTGTCTCTTTCCTGTTATTTATTATTTAATTTCTGAACTTTTTTTAAATAAAAAAAAAAAAAAAAATGAACGTTTTACAGTTTCAAAAAAAAAAAAAAAAAAAAGGCACCGGTCAAATATTTTACCTTAAATTAACTTCAAGGTTTTAAGGTTATGCGAATATTTGTCCAGTGCCTGATATTGATTACTCATGTTCTTTGTCAAACTATCACTTTGAATGAATTTAAATATCGTTAAGAGTCATTTGTGTTACCCTTACCGATTGATCTCTTTTTTTATTTAATTATTTATAAGTTTCAAGTTACTAAAAAAATAAATATATTTAATAAATGTTTTTTCTCGACAGGTATTGATGGACATGTTTCATCAAGACGAAGGGGGATCATCATCATCAACGGCAACAATTGAAGAATCAGAAGGAATACAACCGAGAACATCTCTCACGTACGAAGAAGTTGTTAAAGATTTGATACACGACGAAAAACAATACCTGAGAGATCTTCATATGATAATAAAAGTTTTTAGAGAAGAAATTGCAAAGTTAACCAACAATCCGAAGGTTTGTCGAAAAGGTTTTTAAAAAAAAAAAAAAAATTTAAAAGGTAAACAAATGAAAAAAATAATTTGAATTTTTTTTTTTTTTTTTGTTATCTAAAAGGATTTAGAAGATATGTTTAGTAATATAATGGATATATACGAGCTGACAATTACATTGTTAGGATCTCTAGAGGATATGGTTGAAATTTCAGAAGAAAAACAACTTCCTGCTGTCGGTAGTTGCTTCGAAGAATTGGCAGAGGTATGGAAATTAAGCTTAATTGATTCATTCTTCAAATCCCTTTCTTTTTTTTTTTTTTTTTTTAAATTGATTTATCACGTTAAACGACCTTTATTCGCAATTAACCTTTTGTGCAACATGCTAAAATTATCATCCATAATCTTTCATAAATAATTGATTCGAAAAAAAAAAAATTTTTTTTTTTTTAAATTTAAATATTTTAGGCGGCCGAGTTTGACGTATACGGTAAATATGCAAGAGACATGATGTCTTCCAAGTCTCGCGAAGCTTTACATCGACTTCTTTCTCGTCCTGAAGTATCCGAAACTCTTCACACGGCGGGACAAGGTTTTTGTGAAGCTGTCAAATATTACCTTCCAAAGCTTCTCTTAGGACCCGTATGGCATTGCTTTTTGTATTTTGACTACATGAAAGTGCTCAATAAGTTGACTCCCATGGTGGAGGATAAAGAAAGTTTGGAACAGGTCGAAGGATTACTTCGACCGCTTCAAATGGAATTAACGTCTTTGATTGGTAACGTCGCTAGGCGAGATACGAATGTTAGAATGCACAGTCGTGTAAGAAGACAAATCGCAATAGAAAAAACGAACGAACTTCAAAGATCCATCGACGGTTGGGAAGGGAAAGATATAGGGCAATGTTGTAATGAATTTATTAGAGGTAAGTTATATTCGATGTTTTTTGAAATTATTTCAATAAAAACTTGTTTTTAAAATTATTATTATTATTATATTACAGAGGATGTTTTGGGAAAGCTTAGTTCGGGAAAAAGGTTAACTGAAAGGAGAGCTTTTCTTTTCGATGGTTTAATGGTTCTTTGTAAGCCAAATTCTAAAAGAACATCAGTTTCCGTCACGACACAGCAAACAACTGCTGAATTCAGATTGAAAGAAAGATTTTTTATTAGAAAAGTGTACATAACCGATAAGGAAGACACAGAGGGTAACTTTTTTTTTTTTTTTTTTGAAAATCATCGACTGAAATTACCCGTCTACACCGAAGCGAACTGAAATATTATTTTGTTTTAGATTTAAAAAATGCATTTGAAATATCTCCAAGAGTTCAACCAAGTGTGATTCTAGTTGCCAAATCTCCCGAAGATAAAAATATTTGGATGGCAGATTTAATAATGCTTAACACTAAAAGCATGCTTGATAGGTTATTAGATAGCATATTGTTGGATGAAGAAAAAAAACATCCATTAAAGTTGCCTCCTCCACATTTGTACAAATTTGCCGAAGCCGATTCTAAAGACAATATTGTCTTGGATGAGACTGAAGGTTCTGGTGTGCCACTTATAAAGGCAAGTAATTAATTTTCCCCCCCCTCCATTTTTAATTTCACTTTTTTTTTTTTCAATTGTCGTAAAATTTTTTTTTTTTTTGTCATTAACAGGGTGCAACTTTGTACAAATTAATTGAAAGACTGACTTATCACATTTATGCTGATCCAATGTTTGTTCGTACGTTCCTTACGACTTACCGTAGTTTCTGTAGTCCGCAAGAACTTTTGGACCTTCTTGTGGAAAGGTTCAACATTCCCGAGCCTCAACTCTTTTACGACGATAATAAGGAAACTTCCGAATCGGACAAAACGATAAAAAATTCACAAAGAGAAGACTGGAAGAGGTTTAGAAAAGAATATTGTCAACCGGTTCAATTTAGGTACGAAAACCGTAGTTTTAATTCAATGATTTAAATTAAATTTTGTGATCCAATTAAAATTGGAAAATTTTTAGAGTTTTAAATGTACTTCGGCACTGGGTCGATCATCACTTTTACGATTTCGAAAGAGACGCTACGCTCCTTGAAAAACTTCATCATTTTCTCGATACCGTTAATGGTAAAAGTATGAGGAAGTGGGTTGATTCGGTTTTGAAGATTGTACAAAGGAAATGCGATTCGAATGAAATACAAAGAGAAATAACTTTTGCATTTGATAGAAGTCCTCCTCCGATCGAATGGCATATCAGGTGTCCCGAAGAAGAATGGAGCATATTAACGGTAAATTGAAATTATCACGAGAAACGAAATCATTGTTTATTATTTTTAATAAGAAATTTAAGAAAAATATGAATTTTACGTAGCTTCATCCCATCGAGATCGCTCGACAACTGACGCTCTTAGAATTCGAACTTTATCGAGCTGTTAAACCTTCGGAATTAGTCGGTTCGGTTTGGACGAAAAAAGACAAAGAAAAAACTTCTCCAAATTTATTAAAAATGATAAAACATACGACTAATGTAAGTTTCTGGGAAAAATATATAAATTATACATTAAAATAATTTTTTTTACATCGTGAAATAATTATTATTATATAAACGTATTTGCTCAGTTTACAAGGTGGCTTGAAAAAAATATAATCGACGCCGAAAATTTAGAAGAACGAATAGCCATAGTTTCTAGAATAATAGAAGTTATGATGGTGCTTCAAGAGTTAAATAATTTTAATGGTGTACTCGCGGTGGTCTCGGCCATGGGATCCGCTGGGGTTTTCCGATTAAAATTTACTTTTCAGGTGAGGTGTCATGAAAAATTTTAAATTGAATTTAATATTATGAACAAGAATGTAAAAAAAAAAAACGATTGATTTCAGGCATTGTCAGCGAGATTAGATAAGGCTTTAGAAGAAGCGAGAGAATTAAATGCTGGACATTTTAAAAAATATCAGCAAAAATTAAGGTCTATTAATCCGCCTTGCGTACCTTTTTTCGGTGAGTATTATAATATTTGAATTTTATTTAATCCTTTTTTTTTATTATTATTATTATTATTATTTAAAAGTGAAAAATTTTTGTCTTCTTCTTAGGCATGTATTTAACAAACATTTTATTTATCGAGGAAGGAAATCCAGATTACTTGCCTAATTCTCCTAAACTGATTAACTTTAGTAAAAGAAGAAAAGTGGCAGAAATCACGGGAGAAATTCAACAATACCAAAATCAGCCATATTGTTTTAGCGTCGAATTAAAAATTAGAGTAAAATTAAATTATTTTAATTTTTTTAAATGTAATCTTTAATGTTTTTGCTTTATGTGAATACATTTTTTTTCTTTTTTCTTACAGCACTTTTTAGAAAATTTATGTCCGTTTGAAAACCAAACAGACGCAGAAATAGGAAATTATCTTTTTAATAAATCATTAGAAATAGAACCTAGAATGTGTAAACAACCTCCTAGATTCGTAAGTTTTTTAATTATTTATTTATTTTAAATTGTTCTAGAACGATGGGTTTAAATATGTAAATTTTGTAATTGAAAAATTTTTTCCAGCCGAGAAAGTGGCCAGAATTAAATTTAAAATCGCCCGGTACGAAACCGAAAAATCTACCCGGGCGAAGTCATCCTCCAATGCCGTTGCCATCTATCGATCGTCATAGATCACCGTCTACCATGCGATTACAAGAGGATCAAGAACCGGAAACGCCTAAAACTCCTCACACTCCGCCTCATAGGCCTACGCCAGATCTTATCGATAATACTGTTTTTATGCCGGTTTTAATAGGAGGCCGTAAGTTTTTTTTTTTTTTTTGATAGTTTTTCTTTTCGATTCTTGCAAATTTTAAGTTTAAATTTATCGGATTTTTAAATATTTTGTAGGATCAGGAAATCAATCCCCTGGAGGCCAAGTATTAGTATCCTCTGCCACTCCTAGTCCCGGTACGAGTCCGTCTCCGGCTCATCCTCCCGCTCTTCCACCACCGCCGCCTCCTCCTGCTAAATCAATCGAACTCGTTCGACTTCCTTCTTCGAAAATAGTTAGATCTGCCGTTGCTCCTCCCCTTCCCCCAAGGCGGAAAAAAGAAAATTCCACGGGAGAATCAATCCCGGTAAGGTTTTAAAGGTTTTTTCTCTTTTGAACGCTGGTTTTTTAATTTAACAAGTGTAATATTTTGGTATGTGTTACAGGATGTTCCTCCGCGTGATCAGTCACCTCCTCCGCTTCCTCCTCGCAGTAATCCGTCCCATTTGCAAAGGCGTAATTCCGCCCTAGATGTTGGCCAAAATGAAGGGCAAACGACCGTGCCAAGGCGTCACATGTCAGTAAACGGACCCTTTCTAAGCACAAGTAATTACTTTTACCTTTTATTCATATTTAAAAAAAAAAAAAACTTTTCATTAGATTAAAGTTTACGAATCATATATATTGAATAATTAAACAATTTTTTCTTTCTTTTTAGTGCCCAGATCCGGTCATAAGGCGTTACCAGTTAATCATCAAATATCAACTATGCCAGCACCGACATTTCACGTCCCAAATCATTCTCAAGATACCCAATCGCACGGTCAAGGCGTGCCGCCATTTTACGGACATTTGTCTTTCGGAAGTCATAATCTTCAAGCAACTCAAACCGCCATATTAGGAACTCACAACTTGTCGCAAAGTTGTAGAAATTCGGGAAATTTTAATTTTAATACAAACAAGCCCGTAACGATCGGAACGGGTATGACGGGTATGACGACGACGACGACTCCTCCAATCACGACCGCTCCTCATCCCCTTCGCCACCACCCTCACGTAAGAAATTTCGAAAACGTATTAGAAAATTTAGAATTGAACAATGCGAGTTCTCCAACGAGAAAAACTAGTCACAATTTTAACTTTAAGTCGAATTCGAGCGATATCGATAAGCAACAACAGAAGACGATTTTAACTGCGTACGGTAAAAATGAAAATTCACCCAAATTGTTACCGGAAAATCTGGGAATACCGTATCCGGGCGAAGAACTTTCAAATCGGTTGACGGCCGTGTCACCTCAAAAATCCACGAAAGAAATAAAATCATCGAGGCTTTCGGGAAATCAAGAAGACATACATTTGAACTGCATACTTTCCACTCCGGAACTTCCTCCGAAAATTCATTTGGGTAAAAAAAGTCCAGTGTATGCCAAGGGAAGCGGAGAAACGTTGTTTCATTTCGATTCGCAAAAAATCCATAGAATGAATAGTTCTTCTCAGGATGGCCACAGTTAATTTCAATTGTCGTTTAAAAAAAAAAAAAAAATTTATAGTTGAAGAAATAAAAACTTAAGGGACCAAAGATGTAAAAAAAAACATATAAATTTATATAAAATCACCCGCATGCGCATTCATATATATATATATATGCATGTATAAACCGGTAAAATGTTTAAGGATGATGATGATGATGATGATGGTTGTTATGAATTATTTAATTGGAAATCCAGAGTTTTATGATTGCTGTCGTCATTGCGCGTTTTTTTTTAAAAATCAAATTTATGTATGTATACCTAACACACATACACAATATTAAGACTTTAAGGGTTCAATTTTGACGACTCGCTAAAAAGCTCGATCGTTATTTAGTTATAAAATTGTTTATAAATATATATATATATGTAAAATGTATATAAGATAGGTATCAGGTTTTTATTGTATATAAAATATGAAATGTCTATAAAGAATATAAAAAAAAAAAAAAGTTTTTTTTTTTTTTTAAATGCATTCCTCTGTTGTACAGTTTTAATCAGTCATAATAGGTGTAAAAAGAACTGAAATAAATCATTAATAAATGTTATTATTATTATTATTATTATTATTATTATTATTATTATTTATATGTATATGTATATATATATATAAAAAATAAATGCGCCGGAAATGTTTATATGCACACATATGAGCGTGTATATACGTATATATATGTATATGCGTGAGTGTTATTGTGTGGGTGTGAGTGTGTGTGTGTGCACGTGAGACACACACGTGGGGTAAATTTTAATTATTATTATGCTTATCACGAAAAAAATATTAAAATTAGATGCGGTTATAATATCAGGGATAATTTTTTTTTTTTTTTTTTTTTTTTCGTCTGTCTTTGTGCCGAATGATGATGATGATGATGATGATGATGAATAAAAATTTTTAGTTTTTTTGTTGATCTCCGAATATGCGAGCGAATGAATGATTGATTGATTGAAAATTAAACAAAAGTTATTACTTTAAAAATTTATATAAATATGTAAATGTTTAGAAATTATGTTTAAAAAAAAATGCCACATTTTTTTCCATTTTCCTCCATTTTTCCTTTCCCTTTTCCTTTCCCTCCCCTTATTCCTACTTTGAAAATTTATTTTAATATATATAAATAATATTATCATCATCGTTTTCATCTATTGATTTATAATAATTTAAAAAAAAAAAAAAAAAACTAAAAACTTTTATTTAAATATTGTTGATGTTTAAAAAAAAAAAAAAAAAAAACAAAAATTATAAAAATAAAAAAGGAAAAGGAAAAACTTTTTAAAAAAGTTATAAAAAATATATATATGTACATATATATATGTTTTTAATGTTGAAAGTAATTAAATAAGTTTATTATTATTATTATTATTATTATTTTTTTTTTTTTAAATAGATTTTTCCTTTTAATTTATTTTTTATACCTCATTTTAAAATTAAAAGGTAAGACATTTTTTTTTGTTGTTTTTTTTTTTAAATAAAATTTAAACTCGTAATTAATTTTGTTTTATTGTAGGAATTATGGAACACGCAGAATAAATAAGAGAAGAAAGAGAAATAACAATAATAATAATAATAATAGTGAGATTTTATTAAAGTGTAATTCATATCAATTTATTAATTAATAATTATGTAATGATTGGAAATTGGAATGTCGTCATTGTGAACGTACGAGGAAACGAAATGATAACCTTATCATTTTTTTATTATTTTCAGGTGAGTTATTTATTTATTATTATTATTATTATATATTATTATTATTATTATTATTATTATTATTATTATTATTATTATTATTAAGTTTTTTTGATATAATAAATTCAAAATGAATTTTTTTAAAATTTTTTAAATGGACAATCAGTTTTTTTTAAAAAAGATTTAGGTTCGATTAATAAAAATTTTCATTAATTTTTTTTTACACACGCCAAAATAATAATAATAATATTTTCATTTATTGAATTTAAATACCCCTCCCCCTCAAAAAATAAATAAATAAAATGAGTGTTTAATAATAATAATAATATTTTAATAATAATTTTTATGAATTCGTTCATTGCCTCCATTTTTTTTTTTTTTTCTAATAATAAACTTTAATTATTTTTAATTATACTATTTTTAAACATTTCGTACGTATTTTTATATATTATTATTATTATTATTATTATTATTATTATTATGTTAGAGTTCAAGGAAAAAATTTCCCGTATGCGGAATGAAAAAAGAAAAAAAAAAGGAAAAAAAACAAATTGTTAACGTTTTTCATTTTTTTTTTTTTTTTTTTAAATAATTTTTTTTCCATAACGCCGCCATTTTTTTTTTTTTTTTTTAATAAACAATAGGTTAAAAGTTGTGAAAATTTTCTAAATTATTATCCGAATACCGATATAAATAAAATAAACAAAACATTTTTTTTTTTAAATACGTACCTGATTCGATACCTTTATTCGGAAAAGTTGAAATAATAAATTATATAGTTTTCCGAGAAAATTTTTATTTTTTTTTATGATTGACGTAAAAATAGAAAAACGTCACAAACGTCTTCAAATATTTAATTATATTATTATTATTATTATTAAAATTATTTATTAAAATTTTTTTTTAAATTTTAAATAACCGTTAAAAAATATTTTAATAAAATTCTTATATTACATAAAAAAATTTTCCGTTTTTTTTTTTATTTTTATTAATTTTCTTTTTTTGATTATCCTTAAGGGATGAAAATAAAAAAGAAAATTTTTTTTTTTTTTTTTAATATAATATTACGGAGAGTATCATATATATATAATATTTTTTAATTTAATAAGAAATTGATTTTAATATTAATAATAATAATAATAAAAAGAAAGTTAGAAAGTTATTGTATGTACATAAAAAAATAAATTTTATTTGTTTATCTTTGTAAAAAAAAAAAAAAAAAAAAAAATGTCAAAGGTTTTTTTTTTTTTTTTTTTTTTAAAGAGGAATGTACGAATGTGACTGATTGATTGATTGATTTTCATTCAATGATTGTCCTTGAGGACTTCCCTCTTTTATTTGGCCCATTTATTTTTTATCTAGGACATTTTTTTTTTTTTTTTTATAAAAGGTAATAAAAAAACACAAAATCTTATTATCATTATTTTACATATTATTTATTTATTTTTAAAAATTATTTACCTGATTAGATGAGAATTAAATGGAAGCCTATCATCAACTTTTACTTTAATCTTTTTCTAACGGTTTTCTCTTAACAAAAACTCATTCATAACTACTTGTTGACGTAGTTTTTATTAAGAATTTTCTTAGTACTGATAGATATTTTCACAATGAGTTAATTATAGTTTTCCACAAAACGAATTATCTCATGTTCGATATATTAATAACATTATAAATGTATTTGTTATGATTTTTTTATAAATTATTTTAATGGTAGTTATTATTTTTGTTTTTTTTTCATTAGGTGTTAAAAAAATCACGCAGAACTCATTCTTTGCCTTAGTGTAATTAGTTGCCTTTTGGCCTTAGTTCCCATCCATCAGGGGCAATAAGTTGCAGGTGATAGGTCAGTTGAGACTTTGTACTTATAAAAAAAAAAAAAACCTAATTTGCTTACTTTCTCACTTTGGTACAAATGTTTATGGGAGGTCTCAAATAGTTGAAAACAATCTTGTTGTATCAGTTAGTGATGCCATCCAAGATGATGCCAGATTGATGAATCAAATCATTGGCAATACCTGAAACACATAATTTATTAAATTTAACTGTATGATATTAGCAGTCACATCTGATTGTGACCCCCAAGAAAATGTCATTTTCCTACTCCTGTTTATGGATTAATATTAATTAATAAAAAGTAAATGTGGTTTCCATATTAAGAAATCTGATGAAATAAATATGTGAGCAATGGTGGTGACCTGTTGATCATCAGGTCTCTGACCTAAAGACAGATATTTTAAGTTGACCATAACGTTAAATTTAAATGACAACGCCATTTATTTATTATATTTAATTATTTTATAATTAATTAAATTTTTTTTTTTATAATCAAAATAAAGGTCAAAAGGAAGAAGGATCCTAACATACATTTTACATTTACATTTGATTATTATTCCTATTTCATAGAGTATATATTACATACCTACAAATTTATTTATTTATTTATTTATTATATGTTAATAAAATTTACAAAACAAACCGGATATTTATTAATAAATAAATGAAAGAAATTTTATTAATTACATTTTATTTCTTTATCGCGATTAAAAAATTCCATTGCAAAGCATTTTTTTTTTTTTTTTAACATGTGTTAGAGTAATACTTAAAAAACGTTACATCATTTTTTTTAACGTAAAATATAAGATTTATATTTTATGTAAATATTTAAGTTATGAACACGTATTTTTTCTTTTTAAATTAAATTTTGTTTATTTTATGTCATTTATGTCAGTCATTTCACTGTAAAAAATTTACGTTAACGAAAATTATTAAAAAAAAAATTCGCGCGAAAACACCTAATTTTAACAGACGAAAAGAAAAAAAGCGAAAAATTATTTTAAAAAAATGATTAGGTATATTTAAATAACATATAATGAATAAGTCATCTTAGATTGAAAAGTACAGTCGTGAAATCATCACGGTTACAACACAAAACTTTTAAACGGAGACCATTTGTTGTTGTCTTATTTGATTGGAAAACTTGGATTGGATTGTACCTCAACGGTATTTATTTATTAATTCATTTTTTTTTTATTATTATTATTATTTAGTTTTTTTTTTTTGTTTATATTCCTTTTGGAAAATTTATTTAATTATACTCACTTGAAAAAATAATTTGTCATTTAAAATTAATATGTTTTACATAAAATTTTTTTTTATACTTGTAACCGCCATTATTTGTTCACGAATAATAATTGCCAAACCTCATCATCAGGATTTTACGAGGTATGTTTTTTTATAAATAAAGTTTTAAATAAATAATAATTTAATTAAATTAATATAATTTAATAATCGTACGTATTCCAGATTAAAAAGAACATCCGATCAAAGATTAGCTGAACTGGAAACATTATTTGCACTTTCTAAAATGAATGGTAAATTAATGACAGTACCTATAGGTTTTGGAAAAATTGATCCTAATAAATTGTGAGTATCAAATATTAAATATTAACCCCTTTCTTTCTTTTTTTTTTCCTCCCCTAAAATAAAATAAAAAAATCTGCGCATTTAAAAAAAATTTTTATCTGGTTATGACACTGTTAGTGGCCTTAATACGTCATAAGTTTTTTTTTTGGTTCTTGATAAAGCTCCAGGAGATAAATAAAAGAAAGAAAAATTTTCTTTAAAAAAAAAAAAAAAACAAGAAAAGTTAAATTTATTTCTTCCATTTTATCATTCATTTGTTTGTTTGTCGTGTAATTAGATAAAAAAATAAATTTTACCTGTGTTGCAATTTCTACTGCTAATTCTAATTCCATAGGTGGGAAATTTTTTTTTTTTTTTGGAAAATTATCTTAGATTTTAAGTATTTTTTTATTTTTTTTATAGAAAAATATAGAAAGTTTAGAAAGTTTTGCATAAAATCATTTACTTATTTTTTATTTTTATATTACACAACAAAAAGAAAAAAGAAGAAAAAAATATTTTAAATGCTCAGCCATTTTGAATTACAAAAAAATGGAATTTTTCATTTTATTTTTTTTTGATTTGAATTAATTACTATTAAAATTTACACATTTATCAAGTTTATGGAAAACTGGAATTCTTGTTTGTTTTCCAAAACCCCCCCCCAAAAAAAAAAAAAAAAAAAAAAAGTTCAAGAAACTTTTTATTAAATTTATTTTAATAAATGTTAAACACCCTAATAGGTATAAAAGGTTAAGGTCGATAAATAAACTAGTTCAATTTAGTAATTTTTTTTTTAGTTTATTAGTAACCGTAGTAGTAGTAGTAGTAGATTTATTATCTTTTTACATAATTAAAAATATGCCCCCCTAACAAAAAGATTAATAAAAAAAAAAAAAAAAAAAAAAAAAAAAGTTTATATCAAAAACTAATCCCACTATTTAATTTCAACATGAAAAAATCATCATTATCATTTTTAAAATTATTATTAATTAATTACTATTTTGATTACAGGGGAAGAAGACGACGATCGATTGTTCTTTTAAATGATTTTACAACAAATAATTTTCCAAAAGAAAATAAATTAAATAATAATATAAAACGTTGACATTAATAAATTACACATAGTTTTGTTGAGGAAAAAAAAAAAATTTAACAAAACTTTTGTACCTAATTATGGTTGTTTAAACAAACAAACAAACAAACAAAAAAAAAAAAATTTAAAACATTAGTTTTTCTTTTTTTCGAATGGAAAATTTTAAAAAAATTATTATAATCGATATCGACAGAGTGTTAACAAATTATTTCTAATTTAATTTAATTTAATTTTTTTTTTATGCGATGAAAATTTTCCAATAACATCATTTTTTTTTTCTATTTCTATTTAAACCGTATCAGTATTTTTTTATTATTATTATTAATTTATTTATTAATTTATATTTTTAGTTTTTAATTAAGTTATTAATGTTGTAACTATATGACGTTATTTTAA